GTTTTTTTTTTGTCTCATTTTTTTTTACCTGTGGGCATGTTTGCGAAAATAAAGTGGCCGAAATCCGAGGAGAAATTGGATTTTGGGGGTAGGTTAGGTTTTAGACCTCTGGGAGCCTGGCCCCCCCACTTTCGGAAACGTTCCTACGCCTATGGTAACATTCGACCTGCACCACCAGGAGAGGCGGAGGTAGATGCCGTCGAGCCGTCCATCCTCGGCGGGTATCGGTGTGTTTATGATGCTGTCCGCCCCGGCAGTTGTGACGGAGCAACGCCCGGTTTACCCGAGGCTCCTCGACCGAAAATCGTCAGCTATGACGTCACATTTAGCATAGATAACAGTCTGTCAGTCGTGGCCTCATATATGTATGTTGTCACGCATGTTGCCTAAATATCAAAGCGCAGAAGATACATGCAGTCTTGCTGGACTGTATGCTGCTACAGCAGTATTTCTGGAGAGAAGGTTGAGTATTTGCATAAATTTTGAAGCGCTTCTCTTGCAATTTTTTATGATTCACGAAATGAAAACAGACAGTGCAAGCTGTTTGAAATGCCGATCAGTTTTTCCAGCTCAGTGATTTTCAAGCAGGTAATCTGGTAGGTTCGTGCACAGTGCACAGGTTCACACAGATCTTCCCCGTTTAGATTCATAGAAATGTGTTTAGAACGTCAAATAAGTGGTGCCTTCTGTGATATGAATTATCTAAAAAAGTGTTCTTTAACAACAAAGCCATACACCTCAGCTCCTTCTAACGCCGTCACACATCTTCTAAAGCATTTTACCGGCCCAGCCTCTCGGCACGCTGCTTCCCCTGCGGCACCGGAGCGCACATGCCCCATTAGTCGGCCCTTGGCCTGCTACCTCGGTGCCCGTTACCCGGTGCAATCACCTGTGACCGAAGCTGCAGTCTGCAGCCTGTCGGCGTGGCTCGCTGCGGCCTCTTGTAGTCCGAGCTCCGACGCCGAATTCCGCCGTGCGGCGTGCACCTGTGTCCTGGAATGTGGCCACTGTGTGTGACGTCACTGGGGGCTCTATATGACGTCATATGTTGGCAGTCGGAACCGAGCGAGTCCACAGAGTATTGAGTGATGTCTAGTGGCGAGTCTGAACAGGAAAACTGCACCCAAAACTGTGGCCGGCGACTGGCGGTGGTCACGTGACAAATTGCACAGCATTGCTGACTTGCTGAGCACATCGGTCAGTTGTGGTTGAGTTTGGTTGCTAGGCGGCTTCGTTCAGTGTGCGTGATGACTTCTGTCGTTCGTGTTTAGTGCCTGCCACTGTCTTTTGCGTCAGACGAGGTTCGTGCACCACGAGTGTATACTCAACGGTACGTTGCTTGGCTCAGTTCGGCGCTGCACAGTGGGTTCAAATGCAAGCCAACTGTGTTTATGGCTCGTGTTCCTACATGCCTTGTGTGGTGACCTAGTGATGGCGATGACGCGATAAATGTTCTGTACATGGGATGCGGGCGGTGAGGGGAAATGTTTTCCGCCATGATGTGGGTTGATGCGGGCTATGCCCGCGCCCCTCCTGTTTCATCGTTCCACTGCAGCTCCGTGGCGTGAGATGTGTTTCCGCCTGTTACCCAACCGCATGCGATCCTTCAATGGTTGTAGGCCACTACCTTCCGCTGCAGTCAAGCCACCCATCCTGACGCTTCGAGAAGCCTAACTCTGATGTGCATTGCTACCCGGAAGAATTTGCTGGCTTTGTTCATCTCGCGGTGACACGGCACGCAAAAATGTGGGTCGCTTCCGCTTAGACATCGGTTTTACTCATGCTGTCGATCACGCAGTCAATTTTTACTTCAGACATTTGTCTCGTTCTTCGAACTCTGGAGAACGTGATATGCTGTTATGTAATATAGCTACAGTGCATTTTAATGAGGAAACTAGTCAGTTTTAAACCGACAATGCTTTATAATAAGCGATAGATACAACAAAGAGAGCTAGTTTCTTCCTTTGTTGCCGTGCGCTGTGCGCTGCTGCAGTGTACATTATCATCGCACATTATTGACACCACAATCCGCCTTTGGCCGGCTAGACCGGTAATCAGTCCGATGCTATTTCCTGAAATGTCCTTCAGCCACTATGGCAGTGCATAATTTGAATATCGGCACCCGGTACTCTGTAGTGGGTAGCGCTACCTACTGCATATGCAGTCAGCGTACGTACACTATAGCACTGAAGGTTGTGGACATGACAGCTCGCGGCTCTCTCCACCACTTTGCTGACTAGACCGCAGGTCGGTATCTGATTCTGTCACAGAGGCCAGAAATATGCGACTTTTTTGGCAGGATACCAGAGCCCCTCTTTAAAAGTTTCTGACCTTCGCTTTATCATCGTTCCGTCACTTCCGACCTTCATTCTGCATGTACATATGTATAGGTAGCTGAAACCGAGAATTACCTACCCCATCAGCATTTAGCAGCCTGGGCTAGCAGTTTCAGCCTTTATTCGTCTTGTGTCAAAATCGTATTCACAGTAACGACAGTAACGACACTCACACACGAACATAGTCCCAACACTAGCCTCTTCGTTCCAGCTGAATAAATCTCACGGTCTCGACATCAGACCGTATCTCCCCTTCCCTTCCCCACCTTAACCCTCCTACGAAGTCGCCCTCAACTTCGAGCAGGCTTCTGCTACTGAGAACGAGAGACGATTTGGTATGCCTTCTCAGCGTGCAGAGATCGTTGCATTGTGCATTGTGCAGTGTTCAACTCTGGCAGTAACTTTCAGCGGTGTCAGCCGCCTATTTGCCCCGTGGTGCGGGACGCGGGTTTAGAGGGAAGCGGCGTCGGTCCCCTCCTATCGGTCCGGCTGGCGGCCACTCCCTCTGCCCAGGAACGCTATAGGCTGAGAGTTTCGCATGCCGATCTAAACAGCCAGCCGTCTAAGTGGGGAGCACTGTGCAGTGCAGTGTCCTGAAGATTATGTTGGGATACGGCCGGGCAGCTCGTTGTTAATGACTTCTCGGAATGTAACGCAGACCGTTGTGCAAAACTACAGGATACATGATGTGCTCGCCAGCATTCGAGATGCTATCCTGCCCCTGCTTAGGCAATAGTTAATGGGCACGCTCTCTTACCGTGATTCAGAGAGGAGGTGTTCTTCCGATTGGCGCGGTGTAAATTACAGAGAGATGCGTGCGATAATGCTGCATACATTGCGTAACTTTCCTTGTCGTTCCCGCGTTGCGCTCGGGTGGTTCTGATCACACAGAGGGTGGGTAGTGCTGTGGAGAAGGAGGAAGATATAGCAAAGGAGAAGGTATAACGGTACTGCATAAACAGCTCATCAATAACTGTCCACCTATCGGTTAAATCTCCGTTTGAAGACACTGATATCACGTAGCGAAACCCGCACGTATGGTCGGTTGTGCAATGTGTTTTGGAATGATTTATCAAATCAGACATCTGTCCCGATTAATAAAAGGTCCTTACACTCGCGCGCACCTGTGCAGAATCGATTGCATTGTAAAATTCGGTTGTCTGTAGATGTTTTACAAGGATTTCGCGTGCACCAACCGGCTATTGACGTGGCTATTTACATATGTTTGACACAAACCTGAAGACAATAGATCGATCTTGGGGTTCTATTGTTTGGCTTTCCTTTCGGTTTTCAAACGCTATCGAAATTTCGAAGCTTCTGTGAAGTTTTGTCTGTGGTGCCGTTATAAATTTTCCACATACGGTGCAATGGCACACACTATAACTGGCAATGCTCATATTTATGCTTCTAAAATCCCTTCAAGACCTTAGAGATATGAAATGTGTCTGCAGAAAATGATTAACAAACAACAACGAAGGACAACGGTAAAGAAGACGTTAATGATATTATTGTGATGAATAATGACCTTATGCTCATGATATAATACGATTAAGTTGAATTGAAATAAGACAAAAAAAAAACAATTCATATGTTTCGACTTGCGTCGTCTTCGGAATCCGAACACGACGCATGGGAATGAAATGAATGATTAAAAAAAAAGAATAAAAAATATCCGATTTGCAAAGAAGCATGCCATGTAAGTGAATGATGCCTGAGCCTCATTGGTTTCCTTCCCTATTTTGTTCACAGCAGAATACATAAATTTAGCAATCGTATGGGGCTGAGGTGTACACGTGTTTCTGGCGACGTAATTACGCGAATATTTACCCGAAAACATCCGCGGACAGCGGAGGGACGCCGGCTTCCGTAAGGTAATGGCTTTGAATACTGATGGAAACAATCGAATTAGTAGCAAAGTACATACATGTAGTTATCAACTAAGCCGTGTGAATGGCAATAAATCTAACAAACTCGTATTCAGGTAAGTGAGAATGTAAAAAATAAGATGATTAAGAAAAAAACCTCAGATTTTATTCATTGTCCAAAAGCTTGGCTATACTGAAAGACTTGATCAAGAACGAATAGGCAAGGCAAATCTATTGCTTTATGTAGTCTCCCTTTGGTAAGGGAGACTACATCTCAGAACAAGAAAACATCACCGTGAGGTGGGAGACTGCAGTAGTGTGTCAGAAGCTAGCACAGTAACCCTTATCTATCCCTTGCGGATGTACTGGATCATGGGTGTAATCCTTACGCAGGATTGTAGAATGTAGATATCTTTCGTTCTGTCCACCAGCAAACTATAAAAATACTTGTTCCCGGAAACACTCCGATCGAAGAATGGAACCTAACTTCTAGACATATGCAGTAAAAGTTAACACCAAACCAGCCCGTGAACAATGTAAAGTCTGCACCGATATTGTTCCTTTTGAAAGCAATAACTAGTGCCTAACTAGAAATGTTATTTCGATCACACTCAAAGCCAAGATAATCCGACTGAATTAGCTATTATACTTTTTTCTAACAGGGCGCAGCTAACGGAGCAATTGTTGTTAAAACATACCAAGATTCTTCAGAGGAAGACCATCAGTAGGTACGCCCAGTGTTACTGCATATAATCTGTGACGCTATCATCTGACAGTGCTTCCCCGCTGTGTTCCACAGACTCCCAGGCATGAGTGTGGTGGCCAGTGACATTGTGTTCGTGCCGAGTGGGCGGTACAGGCCCGACCTGGCCGCCCTGCCGGACCGGGACGCGACTGGAGCTCGCTCCTCGCCTCAGGAGCCTGGCCAGCGCGACCCGGCCGCCGCGCCTCCGGCCAGGAACACACGCGTCAAAAAGGTGAGGTACCGCCCGGCTCTGTGGGGAGGCTGGGAAGTGCCAGAGATTGAGAAGCTATATTATGTGTTGAGCTGCTGGGCGATAAAAAAGGAAACTTTTTGATTTTGGTAGAAAGCGGCGATTCGCTTCAGAAATTTTTAATCGTGCGGAAAAAGAGTGTCCATCATTTTTTTCTTCTATTTTTGTTTGCACTGACGCCACCGTTAGCGCTGTTGCCCCTCAATGAGGACTGAATTCTTGCTTATCGATTACATCGTCTACAGCTATAAACCTTCCTTGGAATGTTAAAATTATTTGATTGTGTACATAACCAGCGGCGTATTTAGAAAATCGCGAAGGGGGGGGGGGCCAAGGGTTTGGAGGGCGCCACCTCACCCAAGGAGGGCGCCATACGGTCGCGAGATAAAAAATCGCTCAGTGGGGGTTGGGGGGTTGGGAGGCGTTTTTTACCATGCCACCAGTTTTTTTTTGCGTAACCTCGTATAGGTCGTGCTGCATTGATTTTGCATCGTGTGTATTCATTATACTCCAGGTCACAAAAGGTCAAGTGTTCTTGAAATGCTGCGCCGAAGGCGCGCGAAATTTTTGAAAACAACCTTTTCCTCCGCTTTTTAGGCACGCCTTTTATATGATCACTGTTCAAAGCTCCTCTCGCTCTTTTACCAAATTTGAAGGTGTAAAAAATACCTAAGGTTTGGTCGGGCCGCTGCCACACAAACTGTACAGAAAGCTTGGCTCATGGGTGTCGATGTATAAAAGTTTATTGGCGGTGGCATATCTACGCACCAGATCACCGTATCGGATTGATACCGGAGCGCGAGATGCGTAAACATCATCCAAATTACCTCAGACCAGCCTTCATAGCCTTCTCACAGGTGCATACAGTGTACCCACATAACCAGTTTCAATCACCGAAACTTCAGATGCCTGCTGTTGCGCCCGAACCTGTTGACAATACCTACTTAATCGTAATCCATATAGATGCCATGATGCACGTAAAGTAGGATCAATCCGTTAAGACCAAAGACGTGTTTTATGCATCGTAGAGCGTAGATAGTTTTGGTAGGTATAGATACTTCATTCATTGTGCTGAATGCACGTTCATTTGTGGCAGTTTTCACAGGCAAGACATCAACTATGTGCAATAGAACGACTAAGTTGAAAAACATGCCAAAGGAGTAAATAAATGATAGGAGGGCAGCGATCAACGGATGTTGCCAATAGGTAGAAGGGCTGCGATCCACAGGAGGGCACTAATAGGTAGAAGAGCCCCGATCAACATCCCGAGTTTCGACAGTAGGGCACCGATAGGTAGGAAGTTGGCGAGCAGCAGGAGGGCGCCAATGGATAGAAGGGCAGCGATCAACAGGAGGGCACCAATAGGTAGGAGGGCGCCGATCAACAATCAACAGGAGGGCGCCACCAGGTAAGAGGGTGGCGAGGAACAGGAGAGCACCAATAGGAGGGTGGCGATCAACAAGAGGTCGCCAATAGGTGGGAGGGCGGTCATCAACTGGAAGTCGCCAATGAGCGGAAGGGTGACGATTAAAATGGGGGTGGCAATGGTGAGGAGGGCGCCTTTGCTCAAGAGGATGACACGAACAGGAGGGCGTCTGTGCGGAGGGCGCTGGTCAACAGGAAGGTGCCAGTGGATAGGAGGGCGGTGATCAACAGGAGGGTGCCAGTGGTTAGGAGGGCGGCGATCTACACGAGGGCGCCAATAGGAGAAGGGCCCCGATTAACATTCAACAGGAAGGACTAGGGAACCAATAGGTAGGAGGGCGGCACTGAACAAGAGGGTGCCAAAAGGGAGAAAGGCGGCCTTCAAAATTTCACATGAGGGCTCAATAGGTAGGAGAGCGCCAATAATTATGAGGACGCCGATCAGCAGAAGGGCGGCAATGTGTAGCAGGGTGGCGACCTACAGGAGGGCGCCTTCGGGTGAGAGGGCGCTTATTTACAGGACAGCGGCTTACATAGGCGACCACCGTTACGCTTAGAGAGCTACAGCCTACAAATGTGGTTGGAGGGCGCCCGAGGGAGCCCTCCAACCGTATTTGGAGGGCGTATTTGGAATGGGCGTCCTCCGAGGGCGCCCTCCATCCGTATTTTCCCTGTAAACACATTCGCGATTGGAGGGCGCCCTCCAGTCGCGATTGTTTTTCGATTCGATTATATCACAATTGCATTTGCGATTGGAGGGCGCCTTCGGCGCCCAAGGGGGGAGGGGCCATGGCCCAGTGCCCCCCCTGCCTACGCCCCTGTACATAACTGCCAATGTAAGCTAGCACATGGCTGGATAAAAAATCATAATTCTGCATCCTTAGTGAATAATTTCAAACCGTATCTCGTCGTAAAAAAAAACGATTTAACCCTCGCCCGTAAACGGCGATCTGCCACCTTCGCCCATGCAGGGGGGGGGGGGTTGGTGCGACCCCCCCCTTGGCGTTTGAAAACGGAGCGTCGTAGAGCTTAGCGGAAAAGACCAACGGATTGCTCTCGCCGAGATCTCGCGATTGGTGGTATATTTTTTGGTCCTAGGTCAACATTTGACCTACTTTTGACCGGTCAAAGGTCAAATTTTCGGAAAAATATACTTTTTTCAACTTTCGGCGGCGATTGCGGCAAAACGGTGGGAGATATCGACTTGAAACCTTCACTATCGTGTTTCTTGATCAATTCTTTATCGTTTGGTATGTATTTCGTTTCCCTAGCTCTAAAAATGGCGCGTTGGGAGCGCCGGAAGTCGGCAAGGTCACAGTCGGCGGCAGAAATTCGAAAAATCAAAATTTAAATTTTTGAAATCTGATTGTATTTTTGGATTTGGGAGGTCCATTTGCTCCCTATAGAAGCTAATATTGCTGCATATTCCCATTGAGGTGACAAGAATTAGCAAAATAGTGGTTCGGGCGCTTTTCAAAAATAGTACCGGACGCTGTTCCTCTTGTGACGTCATAGCTCCGTGACCTGACCTAACCCGGTCAAGTTTCTTATACCATATGGGGCGTTCCACGACAAATCGACAAATAAAAAATTAAATTTGCACCCTCATATTTTATTTTTCGTTGAAAACTGGTGTAAGGGGTTGTGATGGGCGGGGAAGCCAGCTGTGGCAAGGATTTTTTTCTTCGAACAACGGTTTCCGAGATGTAGCCTCGGGCAATTCCTGGAGATCGCGCTGCAGCCCTATGTTTGGCGGCCTATAATTCAAAAACTATTGGTTTTCTACGATAAAAACTTTATATGGTTCAACTCACAATCAACCAACAAACATTTTGGCTATCTCGGATTTTCAATTTTTGAAAATTTTGATCACGTGACCTTTTGACCTATTTTTCGAAGAGTGACCTTGATATTTTCCCCACTGTAAGTTGCAATTTTGTCTGATGACGATTAAAGCCTTATCAATTGTCATTCATATGCGAAAATAAAAAAAGTGGATATCGCCCTGCGTTGACCTCAGGTCAGGTCATTTTTATGACCTGTCCATTATTACGAGCGGGAGCGACAGCGAGATCTCGAGAATAAAGCAAGATAGCGACAAGCGGTAAACGGTGCAGGGTACACACGGATAAGGTCTATAATTTTTACTGAGGTCATTTTCAGGTCAGGGGAAAGATGACGTCACAGGAGCAAAAAGGAAGTCAAAATTGCGGCACTACATATATATGAAGTTTTTCTCGAATAACTTTCAAGGTATCCCAGCTAGGAACAAACTAATCCCAGCCAGCCTTCTCAAGTGGGGCCCACATGGGCCCCAAGTGGGCTCCAAACTGGGACCCATCTGGGCTGCCCACCTTGGACCCAGATGGGAATGTCATGGGCGTCCAACTGGGTCCCATCTGGGCACCCCAGACGGGGCCCATGTGGGACCCATCTGGGGCCCGTATTGAGCCCGCATATGGGCTTTCCCAGTTGGGACCCACATGGGCAGCCCAAGTGGGGCCCATATGGGACCCAGCTGGGATATATGCATATATATGGGTCCCACACGGGCTTTCCCAATTGGGACTCAGACGGACACATGCAAAAAGCGCACATGGAATTTAATTGGGATTTGGTACCTAGCTTATGTCGTCCACTATTTCCGCGTGAATCCCAAAAAGCAATGTGTTCACACGTGGGAGAACCGCATACCCTTTGCCTCTCACTAGATCCCCAGAGATTCGAACTCAAGACCTATGGAACATGATGCGGGGACCCTAACCACTACACTACGCTAACACTGCAGGTAGGCGGCCGGCGGCCGGTAGAGAACGGAAGCGTGGATGCGTACCTATTGTGAAAAAAGGGAAGAGTTTGTAACGATAGTGATAGAGGCCCGAGCGGTCCGTCAGCGCCGTATTGCGTCTATTTATAGTCACCAACTGCCGGCGCGGCCGCCCCCGCGGCCGCGGCACCACACAACGAACACCGGCGACGCAGTAGGTATCAGCAGTCACCGTGGTATCAGCGACCTCGCAGGGACGCGGGCAGGGGTGTGCCCAGGCGGCTGTCAGATCAGGAGTCTGGCAGGGTAGCGGCACAGATCAGGCAGGGTAGCGGCACAGTGGAGGCGCTGGCCAAGTCCAGCACGTAAAGTTAGCACATCTAGCCCATCTGGGACCCAGTTGGACGCCCATGACATACCCAGATGTAGCCCAGCCCACATTCGCCCAGATGCCCCACTTCCAGCCCATGTGGGCCCCATTTGGGATGGCTGGCTGGGATATCACCATCGTGATCCTCTCGTCGATCCGCATCGAAACATATGTATTCTGACCTCAAAAGGTCGGAAGGTCAAAAGTTGACCTTAGGTCACGTGACCTAAGGTCAACTTCTGACCTTTCGACCTTTCGAGGTCAACATACATATGTTTCGATGCGGATCGACGAGAGGATCACGATGGTGCGATTAGTTTGTTCCTAGCTGGGATACCTTGAAAGGTATTCGAGAAAAACTTCATATATGTAGTGCCGCAATTTTGACTTCCTTCTTGCTCCTGTGACGTCATCTTTGAC